CGATGACAGTCCGGATAGTCCGGTGGCAGTCCGTGGAAGTCCGGTGGCAGTCCGGGCAGTCCGAGTATGAATTGCATTCCTTATTAATTCATTCCTCCGGTTTTATAATTGGACACAGTCAATTCGAATTCAAAGATTGAAAATAAGCTATCAGAGGACCCAATTTATTATTATCCGTTTTCACTTCGTGAGTTATTAGTTCACAGAATTTGACACTGAACACTCTTCAGTAAAATCTTTAATTTCTTTCCTGGGGCCATATGTTCTATACATCTAAATATAACCGTCCATCCCCTGTCAAATGTATGAATAGATTCTTTGAAACGATTCACAATAAAGAACTGTTCCTTACGATCATTAGGTCGCCATATGGTTGGGGTTGCTGAAAATAAGAATTATTAGGTTGTCAAACATAGAACAATATGGACACGTTAATATCATGGTGAATATTTCGTATGCTCACCCAACTGAACTGACCAAATTCAGACCAAATGACTTAGTTATAATAACACCACGAATAACACCAAGTTCAAACCATGTATCTTCATAATTAACCTAGATACCTATACATTTCAAACTTTAATATAATTATATTATTATTTTGCATGAGGTTAGATTGTGGAACTTTACTTGAATACCTAAATAATGAATAATATCTCATATACTCCGAAATTAGCACAAAATTAGATGAACTAGAATTTGTACTTCAGTAAAGGATATACCATTGCAGATCAACATGTTTGAACCATCTTAGTCATCATAATATACAGGGTGAAATAAAAAAAAGTACATTGCATAGTGCCACACAATAGAGGATACTGAAATAAGAAAAAAAGTTCCTATATGAATATGGGTCCGCATGGCATTCGGTTAAAACGGGGTGTTGAATTTAATTTTTTTTTTTGTTTTCTTCGAATATCTTCAGCCAGAAACGCAAGAAATGGATAAAATGTGGTATACAGGGGTTTTTTATCATGCTAAATTCAAATATAATCATAGTTTTATGATGACTGATAGAGGGCGCTACATACAGGGTTCCATCCCTATTGAATCGGTCGTAACTTTTTTGCTATACACTGTATGTCATTTTGGAAGGAAAAAATTTGTTATCCCTTCTTTTATACTTAAGAAAGGTATACCTTGTCCAAGTCGCTAGAAGCAATGGTTCCAGTACAAATGCATCTAAAAGCCGACAATGCACGCAAATTATTCAAAAAGCGCCAAAGTAACTTTTGCAAAAACAATGATAAATACTTCAACAATTACATTTTAATGGTATGATGAGAAATATGATGAATTACAACAAAACATTAAGTTTTTAGAAGATGTTCAAATTGTTTCCCTTGTACTTCAATACATTTTTCCATTAAAATTCAACACCCCGTATCTTTTAACCGAAGGCCTTGCGGACCCATGTTCATAGGAACTTTTTTCCATATTTTGGTGTCCTCTATGGTGTGGCACTATACAATGTACTTTTTTCTATGTCACCCTGTATACTCTTTCAGTCTGATATGCTAGAAATCTCGGTATACCAAACCAAGCTGTTAACTCTACCAAGTATACAGTTTATACCAAACCGATCAAGAGTATAGATAGAGTATTTGGTCAGAATATAGTCATTAGTCAACTAACCAAGACACACTATCAAAATCGCTAGTATTCGATGTACCTATAGAAGGACTGGTTCGTCTAACCACAGTTTAAGGAATATCACATACCACCAGTAACGAACTAGATTCCATTTTTTATTCATATATCGCGTTCAGATCATATACGTATTAATAATCAATACGGATTATCTCTATCTATTTCCATAGCGAAACATGAAGCCGACTTTTGAAGACAAATGACTATCCATAAGGAAAAGTTTTGAAACGATCAGACATATACCTACTGCTTTGATTGAAAGGCTAGTAAACGTCATTGTCCACCGAAACGCATGTCTTTGATGACTACTATAATAGCGCATGGCGCATGCGTATCATGCCACCAAATCCTTATGGATATTCATTTGTTTCATATTTTTGGCTTCATCCTGGCACCCGTTATGATCCGTATTGTTTATTAATACGTATATGGTTCAGATAGACAATTTCAGCCTCAAGATATGTCGAAAATACTCAAAAATCTAAATAACACCGAAAAATGCAAAGGGTGATTCCTTTGATATTTTAGGAAATAAAGTTCATATGAACATGTGTCCTAACCTAACTTGCTTCGTTTTTGAGATACAGGGTATCAATACTTCCATGAAAAATCGTTTTTTTAATCATTATAGGTACTCAATTGTCTTTTCATTGATTCCAATAAAACGTTGTTGTTTTCGAAATTATATTCCGAGTAGCATCCTCTGTCTGATTTTTGTATCTAGCTTAGTTTTTGAGGAAACAATAGAAAATCGATTTGACTCCAAATCAAATGTAGGTGTTTTCAAGACTTCCATTGAGATTATTCAGTAACCCAAATTACAATCATTTTGAAATATTGGGGCTTTCTCAGTCTCCAACCTTACTGAATTTTGGCAACATGGAAGCTTATACAGGGGGGTTAGAAATAAAAACAATTACAACTTCCAACTTCAACATCCTGTATCTCAAAAACGGGGCAAATTAGGACACAATCATGTTTATATTAAGTTTATTTGCTAGAATATCACAAACAATCCTTGAATTTTTTCGGCGTTATTTAGATACACCCAGTATACTTATGTACCTCTTCATCTTTTTATATCTCTTCGAGCGCACGAAAGTGAATTCCAATAATGTTTAAATAATTTCAAGCCTCGGTTCAAGCTTTCAGACTCTCAGACGTGAAAAACACAGTGTGGATCGAAAAAGTTCCATCAAATATGACTTTGAGATTGGGAGTGTTTGGCATTTTGGTTACTGAGCAGTTAAGACAATTTTGAATCAGGGACCTGTCTTGATAAATCTTCCAACAAGACCATAAAAAATAAAATAGTGAACAGTTATTTTCCTAACAAGTGCGGAAAGTGATTTCTTCCCGCACGCGACTGCCGTTGCCACCAGTGGCGGCTCCTCAGAGGAGGCAACGGATGCTGAGCCTCCTCAGAGATTTTCCTTAAACTAATATTATTTATACTTTCTCATTAAAAGGACACCAAGTTGAATAGTTTTGAATTGGCAACAGTACTTGTCCACGCATCACACGTTGAAGTCTGCAAATCACGTGTAAAATATTCAACTTGGCAATATCTGTAGGAGGCTAGACTCCTTCACATCGCGCAACCTACGCGCGCAATGCGAATGCCCGAATACGCCCGAATAGCACGTGTTTGTCGTGTCGCTTCGCGAATTGCGGACAAACGCGAGTGCATTGTTTATGTTTATGTTAGGTTAATGGTTAGGGGCTCTATAAATTTCTGAAAAATGAGTGTTTTGAACGATTGCGATTTAGTGGAATACTTTTTGGTGAACCCATTCAGTGCTTTGTCTTATGAAGATAAATTGATTGTGAAAAACAAACGTCCCACACCGGAATAAAAGAAATCTGCTTGTAACAGGTAACAAACAAAATCGTTCGTTCAATTCTGATAATAATAAAAAATATATCTGGTTGACGGGATCTGAGGTGAGGACTAAGCTATTTTGTTGGCACTGCGTATTATTTTCAACCGATAAGTCATCATGTTGGGGGCGATTTGGATATAATGATTTGAAAAATTTACCTCGCGGATTGGATAGACACTGCAAATCTCTTCAAGTAAAGTTCAGGTTAACTGGTAAACAAAATGTCATTAAAGCTATCGATTTGGGTGAGTCGTAGAGAGTTTTTTTTTCACAATAAATCTCATATCATTCAGCCTCCTCTGTCATGAAAGTCACGAGCCGCCACTGCTTGACACGTTCATTGCGGAAGCCAGCAGGCCCATAAGGTGTTTGGTCTCTAGGTTTCAGACACTTCTAAGGGAATGAGCCAAAAATGCTTCTTCTTTATTCGGTATTTTCATTTCTTTATTGTTGCTTCATCATATGAAACGTTGGCAACAACGCATCCATATCGTATTCCTATAGCTGGAAGGTTTTGACATAGACTACAGAAGATAAACTATAAGACAGTTCACTCGTTCATTTTTCGACTTCTAAGAGATCTCGCCGCAACCTAGCCGACCGCTGGATTCTGCCGGCTAACGACTGCCGGGGCCTTTGAAATCGCAATCTAATTAGCTGTCAACCGACCGCAACCGTTTGGCGGTGCAATGATTTATAGAAAAGCAAAAAATGCAATGTTGGGTTGTACCGACAAATGGATTTCACTAAGTGAACTATCTTCTAGAATTCAGTAATCTTTGGTTTTGATCACATTGTGGCAATTCCACTGAATCGAAAATGACAGTAACGCTGTGTCTGTCACTTCGACAATTACAAACTTATTGAGGTTTGATTGGCATGACAACAATAATCGTTTCTCTTCAGATCAATCCAAATCTATAGGGGGATTTTTATAATAATCAATCTTTATTTTTCAATATTTCATAATTTTCACATTAAATAGTGCAATTTGATGGATGATTCTGAACATACATACTTAATACTGCAACAAACAAACTCAAACTCTCATATTCCATCACCTACCACTTATATTTTGCCATATTTTCATATCTTTGTTTTTCCCGCACTAATGCGCGAAAAAAATTCCCGCACTAGTGTGGGAAACATTTTCTGGCAATTTTGCGGGAAAATGACACTTCCCAAACTAAATTGCGTGCGGGTATAGGGTGAATCACGCACGCTTGTAGAAAAAAGTTATTACCTATTCCATATCAAAATCACGTATTTTTTTGCCAACACTATATCATTGACAGATAGTATGTTTATTCATCGGTTTAATACTTTCTAGTGCCTAGAACCTTATGATTATGAAGCACACATGTAGCAGGTCACGTATGCACCTAAAGACCCGTCTAATCACTGAAACTCTAATCATTTTTTTTTGCGATACAGGCGACTTTGAACGTTACGAGTACTCGTAAGGTTATGCGAACGACAGAGTATATTAGGTGCGCGACAATTTAGAAAGAAATCAAGACAAGTGAGTATCCTTGTAATATCATAGACATAGTCTGTTTGTAAATCAGTGTGTCGGTACTCAGTACTTATCTGAGTGGGTCAAAAGTCACTACATCTAACCTTCCGCTTGCTCGTCTTTAGGTATATACCTATATTTGCAATACCAAGTTGAATACACATAATGCGACTTCGAGTTTTTATCTCTCTTAATGAAAAAACGATAAGAATAATTCATTTTCCTACGAGTGTGCAGAAAAGTAACTCTTCCGCATGATTTTTCATTTTGAAAGTTGTACTTTTCCGTACGATTTTACTTTCCCGTATTATTTTTACTTTTCCGCACGATTTCGAAGAAAATGCCAGGAGATATGTGGTAATAACTGTTGGCACCAGAACGTACCCTGAATGCTTAACAATAATGTCATTTTTATTTCTTGGGCCGCACGAAAGAAAATTCCCATAATGTTCGAGGAACATAGTGCGTACCTATAGGGAGGGTAGGGAGAGGACTTTTAAGCCAGTTCAACACTATTTTTTGTATCAAGCTAAGCATATAACTACTTCCGAACAATATTTTTTGACGTTTGTAGAACAAACTTTTGTTTGCAAATCGTACGCGAAATACTATATGGTCATCTCGAATATTTTTCTAACTCGGCTGCGCCTCAGTTCTCAATCATCAAAGTATCATTTCGCGCACTAGATACAAAAATAACTATTTTGAATATCTACAAAAGTCTCACACACACTAATAAATTTTTTGGTGTAATTCCATTCGAGTGGATTTCAGAAACAACTTCGATTAAATCAACATTTGATTAGCATTGTCATATCAGTATACCATTAGAAATTTTATAATACCATGTTCAGTGGTGTCAATATGCACATCTTCATAGTGAAAAATTACACTGATGTGGTGATTTGGAGATGTTCTGAAATATTCATCCAAAAGAAACACCGAATCATAGATTAACGACTCCCCTAATCTATGACCAATTGGATAAGAAGTAATATGTAAAAACTTCACAAACGATAAAATTTCCACAAAATTCTCAAACACACGACATGTTTCGCTAACACAGTAGCTTCGTCAGGTGATATACTGGTACGATGAACTGAACTAACCTTGGCTTGCTTATTGTATATCCTACAGGTAACTAATCCTTCAGGTTGGGAAAGTTGGTGTTTTACATTTGCCATGGATTAACATCCAAGTAACGGCCGAGTCAATTCAGAATAGGAAGTTATATTTTAGATAGTGGTATTATTCAAGTTTACGCAAAAAATACACACACCGTTACTTATTACGAAAAACTACAAACTGTGTATGAATCATGAGATTTGGGGCTAATATAAATTACTCATCAAGTCATGCAATCTGATGAATAAATAATGTTGCTGATGTTGAAAAACCTAAACTCATTGAGGATTGGATTGAAATAATGTATAGGAATATTATTCTTCACGCGCATTCTAGTAATATCTAGATTGATTTGATTCACAAATTTTTCAATATGATAATTTCGAAATTGCGAAACTTGATCAGTTTTCGTAGTTCAATGAAACGGATGATTTGAATAACTTTATGTTTATAAAACCCTCATGGTTCGAAATTACCAATATACTCGTGACAATACGTTTCTGAAAAGTGAAAAAAGTTCTAATAGTTATTTATATATCAAGGACGAGAAACTGTATTTTATAGACGAGTCTGCAAATTGACAGCCGATGCCTTAGCCGAGGCTAGCAATCCGGCGAAACAATAGACAATTTTTCGCCGAGGGGCACATTACATTTTTTCGTCGACAAACACTTATATTCTCACCACGTTCCTATTCACATGTGAAACCGGATTTACTGAATAATGAATTTGACAACAGCAAATGACACTTGTTGTCATTTGTCAACTCACTCTCCGCTCTCGCAACAATAAACTCAATATTGAGATCATTGTCTCGCACACAGCGGACCAGGTTTGCCAGTTCGATTTTTATTCCATCAGTAAATACTTTGTCAAAAATTCAGTAGATATCAGTAGATCTATTTAAGATCCATTTTATGCTATACGAATTCCAAGAAAGGATAATGAAATAAACCTATAACGTCAAAAAACTATGTACTTTTAGTAAACAGAGAAGTAACATATTTCTAACAAAAGTAGAAACAATCAAAACAAACATTCTCATAAAAAAATTCATATTCCTGATTCTCGATTTGAAAATACTCACAAATATCACAAAATACAGTTAGGTACATAGGAAAAATGACCAGCAAAAATACAAAACAAATAAAAAATTAAACGTATAATCTGCGTCATAACAGAGGCATATAAAAAATTGTACAGGGTGGCCAACTTAGAATCCAGAGTTCGATACCTCTGTTGTCTTGAGAGATACAAAAAAAGTTTTGCATTCAAATTGAAGTGATAACCGAGCTTCATATTTCGGAATTTCTTTGAAATGCACAGGGTGTTTCGTAAGGTCACAGCACATCATAGCTATGTTCTTTTCATTGGAACACCCTATATTTTATTTCATTTTTGAATTCTCCCTGAAGATCTGATTTCAACGACCCATCATACTTAGGGTCTAGCAGTGAAAGTTACTGACATATAGGGTGTGCAAAATCGAGATTTCGTACTAAAAACACACTATTCATCGAGATATTTCAAGAAAAAGTTCGAAATTTCGCCTTCTTTTTCCCCTTGTGTTTGATGCATTTACAGCTACTTATGCTCTTCTTATTTTGTCATTGGACACTTCATCATGATGTACTTCAATGACACATTTTTTTCTAGAAAATTCAACAGAAAATATGATTTTCATAATAGAAAAAAAATGTGTCGTACATTGTGATATATTTATGTAAATTTTCCAATGATGAAAAAAGAAGGGCGAATCGTTCTAAATGGGATCCAGAAGACAGGCGGAAGAGAAGGTGAAATTTGTAACTTTATAGTGATATATCTTAATAAATAATGATTTGTTCACATTATCATTATCAAATTCGTGTTTTTGAGACAAAAATAAATTTTGTAGAAAAAAAACATCACATGATTAATGCTGTTTTACCGAGCTGGCAACCCTGCAGCGGACGAAACGTGTTTATGGACGAAAAGTTACTGTCTGGAACGGAAATTAGAACGTAAAATATGATTTTTTGTTTTCCAGGCGGCATGTGGTTCATCATGCTCTCAGTGGCGTCCGTAGCGGGGGCCGCGTCTGCCGTGAGGTGCGAGGAGGCGAGACTGAAGTGCGCCTATCGAGTGGGCTGCGGCATGGCGCTCCAGAACTACCTCACGGGCTGCTCGGCCGTGCTGGAGGGGAATGCGTTTCCCAGTCGCTGCCCGGAGATATGCCAGCACTCCCTGACCGCGTTGACGTCCACGGAAGAGGGAAAACACTTGATGAATGTAAGTACCATAGATCAAACACTATACGGGAAATATTGCCACGGTGGCAAGTCAAGAGCGTGTAAAGTTGTTTTGTTGTTCGTTCAGCCAGAAGCGTGGTGGTCATCAGACTAGTGTTCCTTCCTCCGGCAATATATGCTCACTCCGCCGACTAGAATATCGCCAGGGCACAGATCCAGATCCATCTGGACAGGGGAATCATACCATACTTTGACGAGTCAAAGATCTGCATAAACAGTGCGAAGACAGAAGTTATCAACTTCCATAAGAAAGTCAACAACTCCAGACTGATCAGACCTCTGACCGTCAAAGGAGTTGAGGTGGCAGACACGACCACCGTGAAATACGTGGGAGTCAAATTGGACACCCGTATGAGTCCCAGGAAAAACACCAATTATTTGATTCAAATAACGCAATCTGCGATCAAGAACATCTATCCCTTGCTATCCAGGACCTTCCCTCTCTCACAGGAGAACAAAGTCCTGGTGTACAAGCAGATCATCAGACCTGTGATGACATACGCGTGTCCAGTATTCTGCAGCATCTCACCTATTCATATGAATGGGCTACAGGTGCTGCAGAACAAAGTTGTTAAGTACTCCGTATTATCACCAACGGTGATAGATACTCTCGAGTGGCAGATTTCCACGAGATATGTGGTAATTTGCCTAGAGTCAGTGAATAGTGAATACATCTTGAAAATCTCTAATAGATTCTACAAATACAACATTGCTGGAAGTGACCTTACCCGGAATATAACAATACTTAGACAGCACCATATAATATCCACAAAAAACACGGGCTGATATATGCATCAACCGATGTGCTTAGGGAGCCTGAGAATCTATAGTCGGAAACGTCCTCGGATGCTCGGACATGTCCGAGCCACCGAGGAGACTCTAGACAGCACTATCTCCCAATTGAAATATACCGCCAACAGCAGCGGAGAATAATCTTCTGTTTCGGTACCACGAATATAAAAGATCTGTAGTTGAATTCGTTCTGAACCCTCATTTACTGACACCATTGTGTTTCTTTTTGCAATTATGGTTATCAATAATCAAAGAATGATGATTTCAAACTCGAGTCCAAACTGCAGCTATAGATATTCTACAAGATGTTTCTCAGAGGCAACACATCTGTCAAATTATTCACAATTAATTCTCACTGTCTTGTCTGACGTTGATCCAAAAGATTCCACTTGTCAACAAAAACAATTCCTAATTCCATTTTTCCGTCGTGACCTACTTAAATTCAAATTAATACCCAAAAATAATGTGGGAATTCTAGTTTGAAACCTCGTTAAAAACACACTGATACAACGTGTATTTAGAACAACTTCCCGTAAATATAGCGACTCCAACAACCATGAAGAAGAGAAGATAGTGAAGACAAACGCTAGAACGCACAGGCATTATAGTGACAGCACAGTCTAAATCACATTATAAATAATTTGTTATCTAGTCACTATTATTGTCTAGATATGAAGGTCACTCAATGATGGAAAGTCTCTCATTCTGAATGAATAATGATCGACAAAGATGGCAACTGTTAATTGGTGCCCGTGATCACCATAATCGATCAATTTGTTGATTGGATTACGCGACATAACGTGACGAGCATTCTGCTCATGAATTTCGAATTTGGTATGTTGAATGTTGTACCGTAGAAGAGGATTTTGAAATATTGTGTACTGTGACACATTATATACGAATAAGTTATTAGTATGGTTCGTAGGACACTATATATTAGTTATTTTCTAGTACAATATTCTGTTGGTACCAGAACAAGATCGCAATTTGAAACAAAATCCACACAAATTTCCTGTTTCAGGTATAGTTAGAAACAAAACATATATGTAAAATTCTCAAGAATATTGTAAAATAAAAAAGGAAATGAAACATTGCTGAGTGCCTGGAACAGCTTTCGTACGTCGATTCAATTAAACCTCAGATGAATTGTTTCCTAAGAATCGAAAGTTGTATCATTGATGCTATTTTAGTTGTTAATTCGAAATGTTCTGGATACTCCTTATTCAATGCTAGGACCTATGACTAGCTACTCAGGAAATGCTCAATTCGTACAAGAGTGAACCTTCCAAGGGAAAAATCAATGGAAATTTTATCTAACAATCTCATAGCTCATCTACTGTCTAATATTTCCTTCAATGTTCTCATCACTCTCTTGGAGTAAAAGAGTTACAAGAGCAGATTTGAGACAAAATATCTAGATCTTGTCAAGTAGTGAGGTTAGGATATGTTCTAAGGTTCAGTAACTCGATTGGTTGTAGTTCACTGTTCATATTTACTGTTTCCTCCTTTTTTCTGCCTTTTCAAATGAAATAGGTTCTGTATGATATGGAGTATATACTCTATATTATAATACTATACGGAATGCGAAGCAAAAACCTAATATCTTCTTCACAAAATACGACACAAGAAGGAAGAAGAAAACAATTTCAGCCAATCAGAGCCTTCTAGTGACTGGACCTTTTAGGAATAGCAAATTATATTCCTCATGTTTTTTCCGTAATTTTTTTTTCGATACATTCTTTGCGCGTTGTTTTTTTGCATGCTCGGCATGATGTCAGTTTCTCAAACTTCGTTCTGTTTTGCTGCCTCACTATAACATAAGTGTATGAATTGGGCAATCATAGATAATATTATTCTTCTCACAATTTGTTAATGCATATTCAAAATTTATGCAAAATACTTTCTGTATAAATTCAGACTGGATCAATCCTTCTCAATGTTATCATCACTTGCAATCATATCACATAATTTTCTAGATTAACTAATAAACTAATCAAACATAATGGTAATTCAATTATTATACTACTATTTGCCTTTGATGTTTGACTTCGTGAGCTTGGGATACATTTTTCCTTATCGGATTTATTCATGGGTAGGTCACATTTCATACGATATTGTTCACATAAATAATCATTATAATCGAAACAGGCGATTCCAAAATCGATATTCAATAATGGCAATGCGTTTATGAATTATTGCGTACTTATAATAAACATTCAATTAGCACCAATTATCAGCTTCTTCAAATCTTGAACTTGGCCGTTACAAGGATATTCAGATGGGATCGAGGATGGAACATTAGCATTAAATAATTTCTATTTTGTATTCGTCAATCGTCATAAATTGTCTGGCATCAGATGGACACACAACCACACATTTTGGAAATTTGCCAGTACAAGGTAATCATTCAAGTGGAATGGGAAATAATGTTTTTGATGTGTGCGGCCCAGTGTGATCGATCTTAGCTTGACATTTAGAGTTTTCTGACATGACTTGCTTTTCATTTGAATAAGTGAACCACATCGGTTTCAGTTGCAACGAGCGACTCGAAAATGTACCTACCAAACATTAGGAATTACCTCTGGAAATAGAATGAAGAAAGTTAATCATTTATGGATTGTGGGTCTCCTTCACTAGTATTATTTTCTGTAATAATAATAATAATCATAATAATAATAATGCCAATAATTGGAATGGAATTCGAGATGGACAAATGTGCACTGGTTCATCTCAAGAAAGAACGATGCGATAACTACGACACAGACGCGCAGCTCGTGAACGGAAGCATCCTACATCACCTGGATGCCGGAGAGACGTATACCTAACTAGGTGTAGAAGAAACTCACATCCAGGAGGCACAACGGGTGAAAGACGCTCTCCGCAGCAAGTATCGACAGCGGCTCCGACAGATCTGGTCGTCAGAACTGTCGGGAAAGAACAAAGTCGCTGCTACTAACATGCTTGCTGTTCCGATCCCACTTAACTCAGTTACATTCCTAGAGACCAGGGTGGCCGTGGACTCTTGAGCTTGGAGTATCTTCATAACAGAATGGTTCTGTATGGCGCCTGCAAAGTAATCAGGAGTTCGGATCCCCTCCTGAAAAGTTAAAACTCATGGAGCGGCAGGAGTAGGAGCTTCTCTTTTTAGGACAGCACGTCGAGCAGCCGATGAATTGTCTGATTTTCGACTCCGAGCGCGAGGCTCAGGGCTCAGTTACTGAGCTAGATCCCGCTCGGAGAAAGGCCCGCATCAAAGCAGCTTCACATGGATAAGCCTATGCATTCGCTCTACTTCAAGACCTCGTCTACCGTAGCCGTGTCATGGGTATGGAGGTCCCTGACACAAATTGCAGGGCCTGCCGCAGGGCGCCCGAGACAATTATGCACCTGCTGTCTTCTTGCACGATGTATGCAGTCTCGGCCTATATCCATAGACACAATGCGGCATTGCGAATGATCTACTACAATGAGAGGCACTCGTACGGAATAGACGAGACCCCAGTGCTGCCCTATGCTCCGGGGGATATTGAGTCTGTCGTGGAGAATGAGAGGTGCCGAATTTATTGGAACTTCTCATTCCCCACCCTCTGGCAAATACAAGCTAACAAGCCTGATGTAGTCCTCCTCGACCATCAAACCAAAGCGATGTTCGTGATCGAGTTTTCGGCGCCAGCCGAACCGAACATCGTTTTGAAGGAGGAGGAGAAACGGACTGAATATCGAGATCTTCTCTTCGAAGTCCGCAGGCTCTATCCAGACCATTCTGTGGAATTGACCATGCTGATAATCAGCTCCCTAGGAGGCTGCTCTCCGAAATCCAGAGAATTCCAGCGTGCAGTGATAAGGCACACATCCTGGCTGGTGGAATTCAGAAAGTCGTCATACTTAGATCATTGCGTTCACTCAGGGCGTGTTTCTTGGTCCCAGTTTTTATTCACCCAACAGGCTGTAACTAGTATAGTCACTGGATTTTATCCAGCACTACTCTGCGTGGCGTCGGAGACCGCAGGGTCGTGACTGGAATAATATAAATTCAAATTAATAATAATAACAATAAGAGTCTGCATCCAAATTCGTCCGTTCCACAGTTACATTCCTAGAGACCAGGGTGGCCGTGGCCTCTTGAACTTGAAGTATCTTCATAACAGAATGGTTCTGGATGGCGCCTGCAAAGTCATCAGGAGTTCGGATCCCCTCCTGCAAATGGTTAAAACCCATGAAGAGGTAGGAGTAGGAGCATTTCTTTTTAGGGTAGCACGTCGAGCAACCGATGAATTTTCTCTGATTTTCGACTCCGAGCGCGAGGCTCAGGACTCAGTTACTGAGGTAGAGCTCCCAGGTTTGAAAATCATTTTTTCATGCTTCGCCGCCCGAAGAAGAATTTTATGTGTATAGAGGGAAGTTTCAAAAGTGTAGATTTTATGGACCCAAACAAGTAAAACGTATAGAGTTAGACGGTTGTACATATTCAGCCATTTCATTTCCTCAAATTTCCTTTAGATGTAATGATATTTTCGTATTCCGTAAACCAATGGAACACAAGAATTCCGTAGCTTCTGATTCGTCTTCACACGATAAAAATTGCCTTTACGAATAAATCATTTTCAGCGAGGCAAATGCAAAGCACGGTAGGTTTAACGAAATGTCCCCAACTGCATTATTCAGATTGCTGAAATCTGTGGATGAAATATTCAGAATGTGTAATATCTGTAGAAGATCTTTCAATGAATTTGGTTGATTACTCTAGCCCTCGGACCTGAACAATTGTTGACCAAGTAAACTAATCGGCTTGATTATAAGAAGCTGAGTCAACTTGGTGAAATATCAATTGGTGTTAGCCACAAAAGAATCTTACGCGTCGCCGTAGAGGACCAAATAGACCTTCTATAACATAATCTAGACTCTCAAACACAAGACCTAAAGTTTCAATTACTATTTTGTTCGGAGGTCAGAAGTGGCTTGATTTTCGTGTATCCACGAGTAGGTTTGTCAGTTGCTGTTTTCGACGTCTGTCTGTTTTAGTGTGAATTTAGTGAACAATTTTTCCAAAACCAATGAAGTAGGTATTTATATATCCTTCAGAGAATGACACGAAACAAATGCTAGACTAGAGGAGTGAAGACCTACGCTCTCTTACAGATATACTTGCAGATCACTGTCGTCTGTATTAAGTCTAAATCATTATGTCAAGACTTCGGCTATTGGATAATCTGGCATGTGCCATCTTGTTAGGATACTGATGAAAGAGTAGAACATATACTTTTTGCCTGCCCCGCCACGACCCAATTTTTTTTCGTTGTTTAGCAGGGCTTAACTCTTATGCCTGGACCAAAGAACATTCACAAAGTTATCATTGGCTTCATTAAGTAGGTGGGTCCAATTGGTGAAGTATCAATAATTGAAGACCACGGGGGAAAAAGGGGGAATGTCACAATATAGTGGAAATTAACTTGACATCGCCATCTGAAAGCCTATAACCACTATATTTTAGTACAAACAGAAGTCCATTGCAATAACGCAGCATAGTCAGCTAATATGCTCGCTCGAAAATACATTCACATGGCAAAAACTTTGAATGTCCACTTCAAAAATGTGAAGAAAGGGGAACGTCCAAGTTTATAGTGCTTGCTTGAATACAGAATCCATTGTGATTTTAATAGGTCGTTTTCATGCTGTCAAAAGGTCGAAGTCAACTCTCAGGAAAAAGAATATGAGAAAAAAAGAGATACGGTCATCTTTTGTTCATCTCTTGGAGCGTACGAAAGAAAATCCCTGTAATGTTCGGGGTACATTGTGGGTACCTAGGGAGGATAGGGAGAGGAGGTAGGTATTGTTAGAAAGGTTTGCCGTTCTATGTATAAAGGTTGACGACAGAAAGTTGTGTTTAGTGGGCTTGTCGAGTACGTCTGAGTGATGGGAATAAAATAATGAGATTGCTACATGATGATTCCTTCTCATATCTCTTTTACAAAATGATCAAATTATAGAGATGCTAGCTGTTCTATTTGACAACTTACCGCTCATTAGATAAGCAGGCAACAATGGAGAAATGTACCCGAGCAGATAATTTCGAGTAAACAATCCAGTTTTTTGACAATTCATTTGGACATTCCCCATTTTTTCCTTGAATCTTCGAACTTATTCTTTGTTTTCGACTACATCAAATGCATCCAGGTGAATTGATTTCAGTTTCCTTCAACTTCCAAAAAGTAAAGAGGTTTTGAACTTTGAAATGCGATTTTCTCGAATCTTACTTTTTGTGACATTCCCCCTTTTTGCCCTGTGGTCTTCAATTGGTTTGAGCCACAATAGACTCCTACGGGTCGCAGTGGATGACCAAATAGACCTCCTTACATTGAATTCAACATAACCTAACTAAGACTCTAGAGTATCAATTACTATTTTGTTCCGAGGTCGGATGTGACTTGATTCTCGTGAGTCCACGAGGAGATGTTTCTCAGCTGATGGCATTTCCTCTCAGATATACTATATCAGACCTCTAGACATAGTTCTAGACCTAGATTTTCATTTGATATTTTGTTTCAGTGTGAATGCAGTGACCAATTCTGCGAAAACCAAAAACGTCGCACCGACATCTGCCGCCCAGCTGTGATGCAGTCCATAAACGCCCAAGTGGTGCCCTGCAGGGTAGCGCAATGGATCTGCGCAGCAGACGCCCTTTGTTCCAAGGCGTTCGAGTACTACAACGACTACTGCAAGGCCATGTTCCACGGGAAGAAGTGCACCGCGAGGTGCAACAACTCGATCGGCATCTTGAGGAGGCAGGAGAAGGCTGCCAAGTTGAAGACGTGTAAATGTGATGGTGAGTGGTAACTCTGAGCAATAAAGCATTCGTCAATTATCCATGGTTCCTATAACCCAGGCAACCAGATAACGAATGATCACGTCATTGGGACGTCCCTAATTGGTGATTTTTCGTCAGAGACGTCACACAACAATATGACGTGATAATCACGTCACCTTCTCGACGTCGAGTGAACGTCACTTAGAAGGGTGAAATAAGACGTCAGTTTCATGACGTTGCAGGGACGTCCTGTCGACGTCCATGTTTCCCAGACCATATCTAATCCATGTATACTCACAGTATCATGTGAGGCCGTTAGGTTTGTGACGTACCTCTATACAGGAAGGGCATTCTCAGTGTCGAAAAGTTTACAAAAAAATTCGTTTTTTCATCAATTTCACAAATATTTAGAAACATATACGTCTTGATAATATCATATATATGCTTCTAACGTCGATAGAAGTATAACTCAGTGAAACAAATCATCATAAATGTAAGTTTTTTTGGAATTATATATACCCAAAGAGCGATAGACAATTTTTTTAAAACTTTGACACCCTGTATATCTCGGCAACCAATCAAGCTATATGTGTATATATTCAAATTATAATATAGGTGTACCTATATTGAAATCATCTTTTCATTGACGTTGCAGTGACGTATCCATGACGTCTAAAAATCACGTCGGTGTGACGTACCAATTTGGTGAGCTTCGTCATTCAGAAAATTTTTCAATAATTTGCTATTTAGATTTTTGGTGAGTGACAAATAATGCATGAATATACGTTACTCAACAAAGTGAAGCTAAATTCGCCAACATCCTTTTCATTGCTATCAAACTATTCTTGGTCTGCTTACATTTCGCCGACACAAACTACATAATTTTTTATACAAATACGAGTACTTCGTTGATTTCATACTGTTGGAGTAGTGTGCTGAGGGATAGCGCTGCTGAATAGACGATTGAATAGACATGACACCAGAGGGATCACCAAGCAGACTCAGCAATGCATAATCAATATTATATGTCATCAGAGGTCAGTGGTCAAAATAGCAGCATGTTCGAGGAAACTTCTTCACGTGTCATCACCAAATTTAAACGTCATTTTGACGTCATTTCGACGTCAGTCCGACGTCAAAGTTTGGTGAGTGAATGATGGCAATAAACGTGAGTAATGTGACGTCATTGGGCTGTGAATAATTTACGTCATTTATCACGTCATACGACAGCAACTGCTTACGTCACCTTGGTCATTCAACTGACGTGAAAAGACGTCACTGAAACGTCATCTGGTTGCCTGGGAAGTAGTTATGAGAATATTCCAACTAGAACACTGGTAGATATTTACAACTCAGAATGGCAAGTAGGGTTTGATAGCCCGAAACCTGCAACCAGTAGGCACTCATTGTGTTTCTAGTCCTGTTGATCTAGCTTAGGCACAGCCGTCTTCAACTATCAAGCCGTGCTGAGATAATGGCAACGTCGCACGAACGGAAACCGTCGGTCCCATTCGCGCCTAGCAATACAATGGTTTTTATATGAGCGCGAGCTTTGAATGTTTGGTTTAACGTAATTTTCTCGGATTATTTTGTGGAATAGGTAAAAAATACACGAGAGTGAACTTACAGAGTGAAGAACGAGGAATAGAGTGGTTGAATAATTCCCTTGGTCATGAACTGCAGCCGTAATTTTGAACATGTTGTTAAAATAAAACTTATGGTGGAGATATATCGAATTTTTCATTCATATCTGAGTGTTTGTCAGTTTGATCTGAGATATTTTTGAATCTAGCTAGAATATTTTCAAGTTCATATCATGAGTAAGAATCCATTTCAATTCATTGAATCCAAGTTTATTATCACGAAGAAAAACTTGGACCTCCATCTCATCATTGGATATTATAACTTGAGAAACGATTTGTAAAGTATTCACATCATTGGTATAAAAAACATTTGCTTTCAAATCTGATTCATAAAAATACAATTTTTCATCAGTCTTATGGATTTTCCAAGTATCAATTTTTACTTTCTCAACATATTCCCTAACTAACTGTTCATAGTTGTGGATGAGGTCTGATTTTTCAAACTGTTCTATTATATCACTTTGAATATCTAAATATTTCTGACGTCTTTCATTTGGATCAGTTCTTTATGGTTTGGCTGGTTTTGAAAAATATTTTGGTAAATATGGAAAAATTGAAGGAACTGCTGTTTTGACTAACTTTGGTGCTCATAACGAATTTTTCCAATTGATCCATCTGGCAGAGGGAATGTATCATACCTGATGATATATTTTTCAATAAAATGAATTGCACATACTGCAGAACGTTGAGATGGTGTCCAGTTTTTTTGAGGTATTGCTGTTATCCACTTACTTCGCAATTTTTCCCCTTCCGGGAATAAAAAAACTGAGACATGATCCTTTCCCAGCTTTTTTCAGATCTGTAATTTGACTTACATCCTGGCACACAACAATTAGAAGGCATATTTCATAAGGAATAATGAATTAATTACTTATTTCCAGGAGTAAATTGAAAAAAACAACAGAAATTCCCTTGCAAATACACCAGCAATAGTACACTTCACTATAACCTCCAATTTAACACAATTTTGAATGCACTTGCCACACATTTTCAGTCTCGAGTCGATTCCTAGATTGATGCTAATACTTTTAGAATTATTTGATCTCAATAATACACCAATTAATAATTGAAAACTTTAACAAAACCTTCCATAAACTCTTTGTTTACTTCCTACACAATACACTTTGAATGGCCGACAGGTTCACGTTCGGTCGTTTGGACAATGTTGCCAAAGTTCATTCTTCATGGCTTTCAATTGAAGACGGCTGTGGCTTAGGTGAATAGTTTGATTATATCTTTTATAACTAATGGCTTACGAACAGTCGCGAACTATTGACATATTGAAATAATAATATACCTACTATCGTCATATTTTCATCAAATCAGATCGTTACTACGCATTTCAACATTATACAGTTGAATACGGCGGAAATTTTCAAACCCTATAGCTGCAATCATTCAATTTTACCGAATGAACGTGAATATGTCGATTTTGTGGATCAATACTAAGAGCACTGAGGACTTAGGTATTTAATAATTTGATCGTAAGACAAACATGTCACGGTGTGATTTATTCATTGAAAACAAGTCAGAGACAAATTTGATTTGAATGCAGTGAAACAAAATCGATCAGTATGAATGACAACTAGATGGGTATATTCGAAATGAATTATCCAGATTTATATGGTATATTTTGTATGAACACACAATCCACTGCAACTCAGCAGTAAGGTCTTCAGACAAACTGATACATCAACTATTGGTCGTACCATTTGTAACTGTAAGCTGTTGTGAGGCCGAAATAAGTTACCAATCTGTGATTGAGGATACCATTTACCGTTCTGCTCATATGGATGGTTCTAGCAGAAGAGGTTGAAAACATCCAACTGCACACAATTTCAAAAAGAAACAATTTCTTGGAAGGTATCATTCCAGAGTTATTTGAAATTGTCATTACAAGCACATGCAGCCCTCAATCATCTAAGGTTGTGATCTCTTAAAAATGGATGTAAGCAATAGTAGTTTAACGCTGAATGTTGAAAATGATTCGAATCAACAAACGTCTTCCATCTAATAATGAAAGCATCCATTGGTTGCTTCTCTGGCTCCGCATTATTAGGAGAAGCATAATATATTATTCATGAATAAACTTTGATGTTCCCGTTTTTTTCAGGTTTAGAGGACTACGACTGCCATGGTATCCAGAGGAATATGGACAAACTCTGCTTCCACAAGCACCACAGACACCACAACAGAACGCGCATTCCCATCAAAGTAGAAGAACCTGCAGTTACCAGCAGAAACAACGAAGTTGAAATTGTGCCATCCGTCATCATGGTCGGTAATGGAGCGATGCCAGTGCTCAGTTGGACGGCGCTGCTAGTAACAGTAGCAGCACTGGTAACTTGATTTTCCATATTGACAAAACTTCTTCCGAACTGAATCTACCTCGTTATAAGTAACAGTATTTATTTATTCAAGTTGTGATAAACTAGTTGACGGATGTGTTGCCAAGAAGTGAGACAATTAGAGGAGAAATATCGAATATAATATACAGGGTATCCATGATTATATGGCCAAAATTGAGAGTTCAGTAGCACTCGCAGGTGAGAATGATACTGGATATTTGGATATATTCAAGTCATATATTCTCCGACAATGTTAATTGTGTTAAACTGGTGGTCTTGTTTGATATCTTAGTAACAATTAATGTCAATATCATATACATATAGGTACTAGTCCAGTTCTTGGAACTTCATTCGAATCGAAATGACTGTTGAGAAGTTATCTACTGATTATACCATTCCAAAATTAAAGGGAAACCCTATCTCTGAAAAATATGAAATATGAAAATATTCGAATATTTTTGCTACTTAATTTCACTCCACTGCTCAACTCTTGATTTTGGTCATACTCATGAGGCACCCTGTATACCGGAAACGCCAGCTGATATATAGTTCAAATAGTAATTTCACTGACATCGATGAGAAGATGGTTTCGAAAAATATCAGTCAATAATGAACCAGTATTCACATATCCATAAATTTGAAGTATAATAATACTAAAAGAATTACTCGACAAATGTTTTCTCAGACTGTTTGGTTACACTTTTTTTCCTAAAAAACAACAATCCAAGAAGAAAGTACTAGGAAAATATGAATCATTATGTGAAATAATACCAGTCTTCATCCTATCATAATTCATCAGCACTTATTGACGGATTTGCTTTTCTGACCTCCCGTTCTGTTGATAAAAGTTCAAGCTCCCAACATGTCATGAAGTTTGGACAAATTTTGTTTTTTGATCAAATAAAAAATATATGAAGTGAACGGTCTTTCTTGATACATTTTCTCTCAAATAACACCAAAATCAATGAAAGCGATCCATAAATGTAGATATCATTCGAGAATAAAGCTTTGGATTTTTCATTAGTCTGTATGGAAATGATTTTATTCATCCTACTTCACGAACGCACTGTACATATTTCACTTTGGAACGAGACATATGACTTTCCGGCTTCGAATCGTCTAGAGAGTGAAAATGATTGTTAGAGTATATGTTAGCTGGTATCAAAGTTATTCGTAAAGTACACGTATAGGCCAAAGGATTGGAAATTTGTGTTTAATATTCTAATTTTGTCTCAAAAAGTTCCTACTCGCGGTGTTCATATTTTTTGAAAACCCCAAACTGCAGATATCCTGTTTTTATTTTATCCATCAGTTGAACTGAAGTTTGTATATTGTACAGTAAAAATATTATAAGACAGGTCTAGGTTGTATACCTAATTAGAAAATATTTTGTATATTAATTTATATAGGAAAAACGACTTACCAGTGAAAAATCTCAACCTTTCTTTGAGCACAAAGTATCATGTAACCAAAGAAGGCTTGTAGCTGTATATTGCTTTAAGTTATTTGGCTTATACAAGATAGCAATTCTTAGGATGAGGGATTTTCAGTTTCCAGTTATAAATACGTGCGCAAATAATAATAGGTATATTGAGAATTCCTCAATGGATAGTTTTATTATTCAATTTCGGAGCTTAATTTTACGAACTGAATACTTTTATGCTAGCTCCGGGTTTTATAATTGAAAATTGTTCAAAGTTAATTCATCAAATTTTTGTATATTGAAACATATTCGGAAAATTTAGTACTTATAATTTTATATAAATGCTCGATTTGAAAATTGTACCTTATAATGTGTATGATTGTTGTACCTTGTAAATTATCTGATTATGTAATAAATCTCATTATTTGTTATATATTTGTTTCACCTACCTTCATAATCAATTGAGAACATCAGCACATACATCAGTGTATAGAAAACTACGAAACACACATTGAGAGCTAAATTGACCCCAGATAAGAAAAATATCTCTGAGGAACATGATTCTGCCAGCTACATGATGTGCATGAATGTACAGATAAATTCGAGTAGAATTAAGAAATCAAAATAAATATACATTCATTTGAAATAATTTAAGTTTTCACCTTCTCAAAATGAAAGGTGTTTTGTATTTATACCGAATCGTGACAATTTTAAATTTGCATAGGAATGAAAGAATAAATGGATTCGAATACATTTTCCACAATTATTTTGTTCTTCATGTTGAACTTATTTCACAATGATTGATTATGCGATGATGAAAAATACAATACGATATTTGTTGGGAATGGCTAAAATAACGATAGTACTTCATTTCCATAACGCTCAGATTTTTATGAACGTCAACCATTATTACGCAAATTGCCCAAAGAAAATCAGGAAATTCCAAAATTCTTCTCGACGGAGCTGATTATAATATCTGGTGAGAGATTGTCCAGGTGTGAAGGCGAGAGTGTGATGCTGTCGAAGATCAAAATCCTGATTCTAGCCAGAAAGAGGCATTTAAAATCAATCTGCTCTGCAGTCTAATCATCTTCCAGAGGCAAAGGCAACATTTAAGATTTTTTCGAGAGTCCCAGCCTCGGAAGACGATGAACTAGAAGACAGGCCTGTGCATGAGACAGGGCAGGTCTGCTAACAACTATATGGTAACAATTCTCGCAAATGTCTTCGAGAGTGAGCCAATCCTGGGTGGTCTTGCCAGAAATCGAATATTCTTTTTGCAGTCCATATGTTGAGTGTTTGCTTGGCAGAACAGCAGTACATTGTGAAATCCCGATCCCTGGTTCTGGCCCGACAAATCCCTCGTTTGCTCCAGTGACAGCTCGTGCCCTCAGTACCTGGGTCGGCCAGGGACGCCAGGGTAGATGTTGCTCTAGTTCGTTAACTCAATTCTTCGTTTTTAATGAAATGTTAATAAATAGAGCTTAGCAGGTCATACTACCTCTGCTACGCTCGCCATATGACTATTTTTTTGTCTGCTAAATCTGAAGCTCGAATAAAATATATTCAACCACTTCAACACACGACACACCAATTGCGAAAGGCACCACAAAACAAGACAAGCCACCCCACACCACTCCTTCCTGGTCGGCCAGCCGTACCTCCATGCATCGTCAAGTGTCCTTAAAATGTTTCGTGCGGTGGAGGCATAAGTAAGTACATATTATATTTCATTACCGCTATAGATGCGTCTCTGAAAATAAATATTATTCTAGAAGTTCCATAAATTTGCATGTCCAGAGCTTTTTCACGATGTTTTAATATTTGACTCTCGGACTGCTGAATTTTGTTTTGCCTTATTATATTAAGCACATTACATACCAATATTCAGGTTACACTTGATTTATTGCCACTCAAGAGCGCTGAAGCTGAATCAGTACAGTTTAACATTTTATTAATGTTAAATTAGGAATGGCAAATTTATAAATTCATTAAATACTGTCGCAATTGAAAAAATCTCTTCATGTTGAAAACGGGAGCAGAATCGGTCCCGAAACGTCCAAAGATAAGTGAAAATTTGATATTTTTTCTATATACCTTTATTTCTCTTCTCCAAAAATTTTTCAATACAAATTGTCACTGACAAGCTAGTGAATTTTTCTTTTAGGCTCTCTGATAGGAAAATTCTTTAAACGCAGTGACATTTTGGGGCAAATCATCTGATTTGTCCTTACTACACGTATATTGAAATAATATTCATATTTTTATTTTATAGAAACGAGGAGAGAAAATCCCAAAAAATTTGGAATAATGAATTATAAATTCATTCATTTTCACTGCAAACATAAACGAGAACATCAAGTATTTCATGTTCGTATAACTATTCGAATTTTTTTTTCTGTCAGTTGGTACATTTGAACATCAACATAGTATTAAGATAATAACTGTAAATATTGGTGCGGCCGGTACGTACGGCCAGCCTAGCTCTGCCGTACCTGTGTATGACGTGTATACGCGAGAATTTCAACTTGAATTAACGATAGACAAGAAACCACCGATTTTGACGATGGGATAACCAGATGTGGCAGGTCCTGAATTAGTTCGTGATTCACGGTGTTTATTCCGATGGCTTACCCAAAGGTTTCAGTGCATGAATTGCAAATAATAGTGGCATAATAGTAGCATAATAAATGATAAATATTGAAAGCAGTTTCAAAAAATTATTATATTCATCAAATAGTTCAGCCAATTTTATTGTACGATCCGATCTAAACTGCAGTCCCTGACGAGGCGTCAGTGGTATGCTTCCTCTTCAGCAGATAGGTCGGCGCCCCATGACATTCATACAGGTTCATAAGGATATTCAGGCTCGCATTTAGTGTTCATTATCATATAGGAGTCTTAGGTAATGACTAGATATGTCGCCTTTGCTGCAAATGGGATAGTTTCTCCATCCATGGAAAGTGGAGCAGTAAAGGCATTCATTTCCCTGGTGAAAAGTTTGACTTTGGCTACAGTTTCACTAGAGTTTCAGACATCTATTCTATCTTGTATCGGCGAATGCTTAGAACTTCACCCTTCTTTTTTCGAGAGCGTTTATTCAGTCATCCATCAGGAGCAATCACAAAGGGATTAGTACCCTATTTCGCTATGAATAGGACATAGCGCGCTCTTTGATTATCGTCACTGGATCCCGGATCCTATAGAGTTTCTATTGGCGTTTTTGGAAACTTGAGTGTTGCTAATTCGAACGTTGACTTGGGTTGACTTTTCGTGACTCTACTCAAAAGCAGGGTCGCCAGGGTCGCAAAGGACACCCCATGCGCATTATCAATTCATATGAATTTTATGTCAATCGAAAAACGCGGGAGTTTACCACTCCACGACAACAATATAATAATAAAATAGTTTGCATTTAGGGAAAAATTTCGATCGTTGATATAAATTCTCTTTTCAATCTCCATAATTTGATTTATTAATGTATAGAGAAGAGAATTTGGGTAGGTGTGAAGTTCGTGGTTTCATGAGCTAAGAAAGTAATGTGCGATAACATTACGACTATATGAGACAAGTTCACC